ACTTCCTTTGTTCCAGCAAACTCCCTTGTCTGGGATTGGTCAGGCCCTGAGGGTGCTGCACCAGGAAGGTCCAATCTCTAGTAATATTTTTCCTGTATGTAGAAGGTAGCTCACCATATTGGTAATATTAAAAACAATGAATAATACTGTAGCTTCTTAGAGATAGACATACAGTATCAAGAGCTTTCATAGATAATTCTACAAATATTATGGTAATTGTCAAGTGTATAATGGCAACCAAAACTTAACACACAATCCATGGGTATCATGTAACAATACTTACACTCCCCAGCATACATTATTTAGAACTGAATAAATTTCGGGCACTAAGCTTACTCAACAAAAATTCTCTCTTCAACTTTTAATGGTGAAGTTATTATGATCCCTGGTCAAAATTAACATTTTTATTTCTCCTCCAGACACTTTTTTATAAAACATATAGACTGAAACAACAAAATGCTTTGTAATCTCTCTTGATAGGTGCTCCCTAAACGTTTAAACTTCTGCTCTCCCAGAGTCTAACGGCCACATTTTCAAATAGTCCCAAATTTTGAGTATGCAGATTATAGAATGTATACATGCAAGTCATTTGCCACTGTAGCTTGAGAGTACCAATTCATTATATGGGTGTGTAAATTGATAGGGTGTACAGAACTGCACCCCACACAATGGTAAGAGGATGAATTAAAGTGCTTATATAGTTTGACCCATTAAGCATTAAGGGAGCTCTTTTCCACTCATATAGCTGGGAAGCTAATATTATAGGACGAGAAAAGTAGAAAACACATAATCAAGTCTGCTCTATTAACCATTTAAGGAATCTTTGATAAAACCTACTCTTACAGTAAATTGCTGACATTGCAGGTAAATTGTGGGTGCTCAACACCCTGGAATTGAGGATTAAGATTTAAATAGGAGGCTGCATGTACTGATCCAGCATCAGGGGATGTTACTGGACTAGAAAACTTGTGGCAGAAGTTGCCAGCGGCTGAGAGCAGAGCTGGCCAGTGGAGCCCATGGAGAACCAGAGATGGCAGGGCCAGCAGGCGCTCTGGTGAGACTGCAGGGGATGCAGGATCAGAACCATAATTTGTGAGGCAATTACTCTGATAACCGTGGCAAAGTTTTCTACTTCTTGAATTTATCAGCTTCAGTGTCACAGCCTTGATCTTTTTAGAAAAAAGAGAAACAGGATTTAATCAAAAATCCTTCTGAAAAATCATTTCACAGAGAGAAAACTGAGACGCTAGTCTTCAAAGATATCATCGGAAATATTGATGTCCATCAACTCTGTTTTTTCTTGCTAAACCATACACCTCAGCTCATTGATTGCAAGACCTGAAAGAACCATTGTGCTCTTCTAGTCTGACCAACCATATAAAACCACAGGCCATAGAACTTCTCCAAAATAATTCCCTTTGAACTAGAGCATATCTTCTTAAATAAAAATCCAATCTCTATTTAAGAATAAAAACCTAAAGTCGGTGGTGGAGATTTCATCATGACACTTCATAAATTGTTCCAATTATTGATTACTCTTACTGGTAAAAATGTATGCATTTCCAGTCTGAATTTGTCAAGTGTCAGCTTCCAACTACTGTCATTGCATACCTTTCTCTGCTAGAGCAAAAAGCACATCATTAATTATTTATTCCCCATTTAGGTACTTGGATAAAGGTGGTGGTTCCCTTCACCTTCTCTTCATTGAATTATATTTAGCTCCTTGAATCTATCACAATGAGACATGTTTTCTCATCTTTTAATCAATCTTTCTCCTGGCTCTTCTCTGAGCTTTTTGCAAATTAATCAACATCCTTCTCAAATTGTCTGAAAGCAGGAACTGAATGACTGCTGCAATGCAGCTAGCTGAAGTTTTTAGCCCTACAAAATAATTAACTGTTGATATGTAAATACAGCTCATGCTGGGATGAGGAAAATAGCCAGGGTGTAGTTATGAAAACCAATTCAGCCAGGGCTGATGGAGGATCTGTTAGAATGGAATGTGATGTATTGTAACTAATTTGGTTGTTGTGAGGTCACAAACCATGCTTCCCCCAAATGTAGGAACTGTAAAAATATGACACCAGTGCTTGAAGGAGAGACACCATCATTGTAAGAGGTCTCAGATAAACAAGCTTCCAGAATTGAGCAAACTGATTTGGAGGGAAAGGGCGTGAGCCAGCCTGCTTCATGCCTGCCAGGCGTGAGCTGTAAGCCTGGTTCAACCTGTTTCTTTTCCCCCTTGTTCTAAGGATAGACCTAAAGCAGACTCCATCAGAAGTCTTTTTGTTATTTCAGTGGAAACTGGAATCTTTTGGCCAGCCCAGGTGGTGGCTAAGAGTTGAAATTACTGAGAGCTGAAGTCATTGGTTTGGCCTGACACCAGTCCCATTGTGACCGGTAGGTGGCCAGTAGAGGCAGCAGGTGCTGGGAATGGCAGGTAGCCAGTAGGAGCAGCAGCAGGCGGCCAGTGGGGTGGCTGGTGGGAATGACCGGTGGGTGTCTGGCAGAGCAGCTGGCGGGAATGGGCAGCCAGTAGGACGCCAGTAGAAGAAGCGGCTGATGGAGCAAGCAGACCACAGGAGCAGCACAAAGGTGGCATGGCCTCAGGCTGAATGAGTGGAGTCATCAGGGTGATATTTTGGGGTCCACACTGACTGAACAGAGCTGTAAGAGGGGTGCTTGAAGTGGAGTATGGAGAAAGTTTGGGTAAGTGAATGGAACCCTTACATTGCTGAACTAGTGACCCTGAGAGGCAAAGGACATTGCTCAATCCATTTGAGCTGGGACGGTTACTCGTGGGGGGTTATGAACTCTGTTCGTGGTATTTTCCCAAGTTAATGCCATTTGACTTCTCTCTCTCTTTCATTAAAAGTTTCTTTTCTACACTTAGACTCTATGCTTATGAGTGGGGATGCATTGTCTCTCAGAGGCAACCAGGGGTGTGTGAATTTCCCAGGCTACTGGGTGGGGGTTCGAGCCAGTTCTGTGAGAGATGGATGAAAAGGGACCCCTAGATATTGAACCCGGCCCTGGCTGCTGCCAGCACTACCCAGCAGAAGAGTTACATGTCAACACCAGAAATGGACATTGCACTGTGGTAGCAGTCACACTAGTGCCCAATGCAGAAGCAACATAACTTTTCTACTTCTATTTGAGAGTTTCCTACATATGCATCCAAAGATCTCTCAGTCATTTTGGCCAAAGCATTGCACTGGGAACTAGTATTCAGTTGATTATCCACCATGACCCCAACAAATCTTTTTGAAAAGGCTCTACTTCTAAAGAATTGTGTGACCTTTGTTGCTTTGTTTAGTTCCCCTGCCTCCTGAGTTAGCCACTGTGATGCTAAGCCAACCAACAGATGGAGTGACCCAACCCAGAGGCTGAGTAATCAGTCTTTAAAGACATACAAGATAAAATACTTAAATGATAAACAGGGCCATTCCTTGTAGATTGTTAGCATAGCCATGATAAACAGACTAAAGTTCTTGTAATGCCGGCTTGCATCGCTAGAGAATCAGTAGATACTAATTGTATTTGTCTGTATTTACCTGTATCTTGTTAGAAGTTTAACAATGTGATCTAATTAGCTTGTACACACTAAACACTTCTGTTCCTGTCTATGATATTTCATTACTATAGTCTTCGAATTCAGAGCTTAAAAGGGGATATTAACAGATAGAACTTTTGGTGTAATGATACCATTGTATTTATTTCTCTTTGAAGTTTGCAGTAAACTATAAATGAACTGTTTGAATGGTTAATTGCCTTATGCTAATGAATACAACTAGTTACCAGTGCATGCCTAGAAAATAGGGATTAACTTCAAAGCAACAGCATATATTACCTTTTCTTAAGCCGCAGAAGCCCTGCTGTCACCACAACTTGCTTCAGCTGTAAAGGAAGTCAGGCCTGATCCTGTTTTTAGCTCAGATTTGCTTAAAATTTGAAGAGGAAAATCTAAGCACATAGGACTGAGGTCTCCAGGTTACTCTGGATCCATCCTGAAAATTCTCATGGAGGATTTGAACAAATTCTGTACATGGACAACTGATATGACTATAACCTATTGCACTAATTCTAGATGAACTCTTACAAATCAGCAGCCTCATCATAACAGCTATGAAACTGACCTAAGAACTTGATTCATATCTGTGTGGCTGATCTTTTGACCACAGTAACTGTATTTTAAAATAATTTTTAAATTTAGTTCATAAGAATTGGCTGTAAGTGTGTATTTGGGTAAGATTTGAAATATGTATTGCCTTAGTAGGTAATGTGTCTGATTTCCTGGAATTGGTCAAACTTTCAATATTAAGAATAAGGTTTCAAATAGCTCTCAATATATAGTTTTAGCTGTGTGGGTAGAAACTAAAGGCTGGTTTGCTTACAGTGAATTGGCTACGTCTACACTGGCCCCTTTTCCGGAAGGGGCATGTAAATTTCACTAGTCGTCGTAGGGAAATCCGCGGGGGATTTAAATATCCCCCGCGGCATTTAAATAAAAATGTCCGCCGCCTACTTTGAAGTAGGAATAAGAGCCTCCGGAAAAGGGCACTTTTTCCGGAGGATCGGGGCCAGTCTAGACGCTCTTTTCCGGCTTTTTTAAAAGCCGGAAAAAAGCGGCGGACATTTTTATTTAAATGCCGCGGGGGATATTTAAATCCCCCGCGGATTTCCCTACGACGACGAGTGAAATTTACATGCCCCTTCCGGAAAAGGGGCCAGTGTAGACGTAGCCTTACAGAGTGAAATTTACATGCCCCTTCCGGAAAAGGGGCCAGTGTAGACGTAGCCAATTGTGTTTTAGCCTCTTGGTAACCAGTAAAATATTAGAAAGCTGTTTTGTTACTGGCTTAGTACCACTAATTATAGAATAATTTGCAGTTTGCCCTAATTGAGCATTGCCAGCCTGGCTCTTCTAGAAGCCACAGTCACAATATCATATTTAATATGCAGTTATCTGTTGAGAATGTACTTGTTATGTACCAAAACAGGAGATAATGAACTACAGTAGGAGATCAGAAGCCCCTTGGAACACACAAGATACATACCTAAGGAAAAGCATGAGATGGTCAGATTTCCCAGACACCAAAACAAGGTAAGAGATCCTATCCATCCCATATAGGGACTTGCTATGTCCCACAGAAAAGGACCATCTTACAAATATCTTATTCAGTCTGATTGGGAGACTCCTATCCCTCCAACTGAATCTAAGCAGGGGGGTCTACCTCCAAACATCAAGGAAAATCCTGCATAGTATCAGTGTCAATTGGTCTTGTAGATTCCTTCACTAAATATACTATGAGGACTTCAGATAAATTTTTTAGTTAATATCACATTGAAGAGGGTTCTTCTGCTGCTCATGTATTTTATCTCAGACTCTTTCATGTCAAATAGGCATTGCCTTTTTTTTAATAGTGTCTGGGGTTTTTCTCCCCCCCCCCCCCCCCCCAGCCTCTGACAAATAGAGGCCAAGGACACCATTTTATCCATTTATTAGGTTCTCTTCATATAAGCTGCTGTTCTCTTTTGTTCTGATGCCAAATTGTCTCTCCTTGAAATAGTCTGAATAGAACATATCACAATTTTTTAAATACCTGTAGGCCAGAAGGTGAGCAAACTGGCTGCATTCTAGGTATTAGATTTCTCAAAAAAAGTGTTCAGCTGGTTCTAAGTCAATGCAGAACAGTTTTAAAAGATTTGTACCAATGAAAAGAGGTTTGATACAGGTCAGATTAGAAATAAGGCACACATTTCTAGTGCTGAATGTAATCAACAATTCAAACAATTCACCAAGAGTTGTGGTGGACTCTCCATTACCAGCCATTGTTATCTGGAGACTGAATGTTATTCTAGAAGAGATGCTTTAGGAATTATTGTTGGGGAAGCTCTATGGCCTATGCTATCCAGAAGGTCAGACTAGACTATCATAACAGTGTTTTCTGACCTTAGAATCTATATATTCTTAAATCCAAGCTATGAAAATTCAAGATTTTCTCCTTGACCATCAACCTTGTGAATATTTCATTGCGCACACAGTCACCATCCACCAATAAGCCTACATTTGAGTCTTAATTTGGCAGGTAACCATGCTTTTGATGTTGCATTAAACAAGTCATTTATATTATTTGCATTACATTACCTCCCAGAGCCCCTAATCAGGATGAAGACCTTATTGTACAAGACTGTCTGAACTGATCACAAGAAATCACTGATAAATAAGAGGAGGCTTATATAGTACATTGAAATTTCAACTCTCTTTTGGAGGGAATTTGCACCCATAGTCTTACAATATGTTTCTTACTGTGGCCAGACTGTAGGATTTTTATCCTTTATGAATACAGATGATAGCAAATCTGTTCTGGTTCACAAGTATTGCTAAGTTATTTAACACAGAGCCAAGGCTTTTTTTAAAATTAAAAAAGTATTCTTAGTTTACCAATTGCTATATCATTCTATATGCAAGATATTATAATGCCTCTGCAGATCATTAGCCAAAATTGTGATGGGGAGATGGAGGTGGGGAAAATGTCAGTGTCTGAAGTAATTTGTTCACAGCATATGCATCTGACTGCAATGTTATATATATATATCTATATCTCCTTACAGGCCAAGATAGTTCTCCCCTCCCCCAAGTCCCCATGTGAGTTCTGGCATTGCAAACAAGGTACTATGAACATTTCTACAGATGGCTGCTTAATGTGTAAATTAATTTGACTCAGTAAGGATCCTTCTAGTCAGTGGCAGTTATAATTATAGATCACTATAAAATCTTGCTCTACAAATTTGTACAACCATAGAACTACCATACATATACACGTTTATTTAAATACTTTAATTATTTACTGTCAGGATTTGTGACACATGTGCTTCAGCTTGCAAACATTAATAAGAATGATACACCACTGTGTAGCTAGCATAAAATAAACAGGTGATTAAAACATTGCAGACAAAACAAAAAGAAAACCCCCAGAAAACAAAACAAATCAGACCTCACACATTCCATGACATACTGATTTCTAAGGAACATAAGAGAGCAATTCAAGTATTAAATTTTAGAAAAAAATGTTAGCACCTCCAGATTAGGTCCTTATTAAGATGCTCAATAGAAAGGTTTAGTAAAATTTAAAGTTAACAGGAAAAGTTTATTTTAAGCAAGCACATTTACAGTTCATGAGAGCCATATACATTTTCAGCTTTTTTCTTTGATGAGTTTAGGGGAACAGCAACCCTGAAAAGCACATCTGTTCCTATTAGTCATGTTGGAAAATATTTCTCTTCTCTGTATCAATAGGCAAAACAGAAGTCCCCATGACAAGTAGTGTGCAATTGACAATTTTTTCTTCTTTTTGCAAAGATCCTTTTCTTTAACCCTGTTCACACTTTAACTAAATCCTAATTAAAATTAGTTAATCTGGAGTACTTGCTCCTTCAAAACAAAAGCATACAAAAGAGAGAGAGATAAAGAAATAAAGGTTTGATCGGATGAAGTCTGCTGCTTTTATTTTTCAAAACAAGCCTTAATTTCTTCACTACTATAGGTCTTTAAGTTAATATTGCAGCATCCTTATCTGGATTTTGAGGGAGCACAAAGTACTAATTTGGCTATGCCTACATCTGAGAAATACTTCAACTGAATACCTGGTTTTTGCCCACATGTAATACAACAGAACCTCCGCTAAAATGAGTATGAAATAATGACACAAATTGGAAAAAAATTAGCTTTGGTGATACATTTAACCTTCAAGTACAAAACATTTTGAACACTTTCTGAAGGGTTCATGCTGTGGCTTGTCTGAGAGCCCCACAACTACAGAATTCTTAAGCATGTTTACTTGGATAGGTCAATAACTGGTTATCCCCCAAAATTCTCTCGAGGCCCACTAATAACAAAAGTATTACTTTTTGCTCATCTTGAGTTGTCAGCCACAGTCCAGCATGTTCATTCTTTCTCAGATTGTAAATGAGAGAGGTAAGAGGACCAGAAACTAAAAGTTGACTGCCTTTTTTGTGGCTCTGAAATAAAAAAATCTTAAGAAATGAAAGATATATTTAAATAAGCCATAATTCTATATAGTGGCAGCATCAAGTACATGAGGGAGGAAGTGTTTGTTAAATCAAAATAATGGTATGGTTTAGTCTAGGGTGCTACTCTTGGATTATTTCTGTTACATAAACAAGGCTACAATAGCTATATAATTTGAAGAAAAATATCCTTGTCCCTTTATATTCTGAACTGAGGTTGTTCTGGATGAGGTAAGTGACCAGCAGAAATCAAGGTTGTATAAACTACAGTGATGGTCATGGGGGGGAAATGGTGTCTAGGATACCTCTGAATTTCCTCATGCCTCTTAGAGGAATTAACTTTAGTAAATACTCTGTGGCTGAGATCAGGACATGGAAATTTTGCTAGGCCAATTGTATTCCAGATAGGATAGAAGTGACTGTGGTTAGCTGGGGGAAGCAACTAGAGGACATGGTGACATTGGTCTCTGTAAATGAGTATGTGTCCATACCATTTGTTGGTCTGGTTTGCCATGCAGCATGGCAGCTAATGTCCTAAAAAAAGACTGGATAGAAGCAACAGCCTGAGGTTGCTTTAAAATATTTTTCCTATGGCCAGGAGACAGTGGCTGTTACTTTCAGTTGATGCTCTTTTAACAAGACAGCCATGTCTTTCTTGAGTCAGCCATGCTCTCTATCTGAAGACGCCATTTCAAGCCATCCAGAAACTAACACAGAATACAGCAGCTTGCTTGATAAGTGGAACATCTTCCCCAAAACACATTCAACTTGTACTCTACAAACAGCACCGGCTGTTGTGGGCTTCCAAGGAAAGTTTAGGGTGTTCATTTGGACCTATAAAAACCCTAATGGCCAGAGAGAGAGAACACTTCTTTCCCCATGCTATACTGTCAAGAGCTGAGATCAAAAGAGCTGCTTGAACTGAAACCTTATTGGCTGAACATGAGAAGGGGCTGCTGGCTGGGTATTCTGTGTCAGAGCTAGATTTTGCAATTTGCTTCCCATTGTGGTCTAGTTGAACCTTCATGACATGTTTTAATGCTTATCTTTTCCCGCAAAGACATTTGAAAATGGAGATGGTAGGGTGGGGAAATATTGAAGGGTGTGATTTAAGCTTCTGAGTGGTCTGGATTTTTGTGCTGCTTATTAATGCACTGTGCTGCAGTATGTAGATTGTGTTTGGGTATTAATACACTTGTATTTTTAAGTACATCACAGTGATTTAGAGCACATAGACTTGTACCTTAGCATTCAATATAAATCCAAATAAGTAAGCTATGTGATATTGGTTGGCAGATATTTACTTATTAATAACTACTAGAGCTAAGCAATGAATGAACTTCCCCAACCCATGTAGATAGCTTTTTCTAGCTGAAAATTAGCTACAAGAAACTTACATGTCTCAAATTTATTCATTTGAAATAAAGTTATACAAATAATAATTGGCTCTATATATTCTTGCTTGTTTACAATAGTTCTTTATGAATAGTCAAATTCCATGCTGTTTTGATTAGATTTATAGGTCACTTGGAATCAGTTTTGATTTGACAACTGTACCAGAACTCATTTCTGGCAAGAATAATGTTTAAGAGCTCAACATTTGTTTTCCTTCAATATTCTGTAATAGTAACATTAATACAAAAAAAAAAAAAAAAAATCAGGCCAGTTGGCAGCACTGTTCTTACTGAAAGGTCAGTTCCTGCCCCAAAGATCTTACATTCTAAGTCACTGCAGAAGAGAAGGAGGAAAATATAATAGTAAAAAGCATGTCTGTTGCTTTTCGCCTTCTGTTAGTCATCTGAAGATTTATACAGAGAATTCCTTCCTGGATTTCTACTGGAAAATGGTGTATTGTAAACAGTGTATAGAGAATTAAGTGAGCTGAACAGAATGTAGAGATTAACATAACGTACAGTTAACCATGTCTGCCATATGTTCAATTGTGCATTTGGTATGAGTATAGAGGGATAATTATATAGTAATTTCATGTTCCACTTTTCCTATAATTTACATAAGAAGCACTAGGCTAAAATGATGTTAATAGTCTGAGACAAACTCTCAAAGTAATGGAAA